CCCCCCCTGGGTCTACTGTGTTACTCACACCAACGTAGCAGGTATACAGCTGGCCTGGTGATACAGTAATAAATTGCCACTTGTTAAAATGATGACACGTTTCATGGTTGCAGGGCGCAAGAACCTGTAGGTAAAGTTATATATACATGTAAAACATTGAAATAAGTTGATCGATTTATACTAATTAAAAATCAAATAAATTCAGTTCCACAGAGAGCCTCAAATTGTAATCATACAGTTACAACTTTACTTCAGTGGCAGATTTAAAGATGGTTGCTAGGGTTATGTAATCACCCCGTGACACATATTTATATTTTCAATATGATATATACCTGACACTATATGACAATGAACACCCACTGACCATTCACCTGTGGTCACATGGGATTTTGCTAGGCTGTACCTAATCTTAACACTTTGAGTGAAGGCAATTTATCCTGTCAATTGATCCAATCAATTGTCTGTCCAGTAGATATGCACAGGTAAATCAGTATTTTGTTACAGGTAATGTAATGTTTGTTTAAAAACACACTCAAATGTGTTCTTTAAAAAATGATCCAAGGACCTGGAACAGCTATCATTTACAGTTAATTCATCATGTTTTAAAAGAGAATAACATAAACATATATATATATACATCACTATGGTATTCTTTATGAAGAAATCATCTACTCTTTGGATAAGTAATCTGACAATACGATTAGGTGTTCATTTTGATTTGATAAAACAAGTTTAATTTTTGTAGACATTTTTAAAGTTTATTATTATATATTTTTTTCATTGTAAACATGTAGTTAAACATATTGTCTTAATAGAAACACAGACTTTTTTGATAACTTGATTTACAAAGTGACAATTGAAAAGTTATGAAATCCCCCTGAAAATACATATCATTGGTGCATAGGGATGTTGTTAGGGTCAGGACCCTCCAACCCTCTGTTTGCAGAAAGAGAGAGAGAGACATAATGTATACAGCTGGTGTGTAAACGGTTCTACCTCCCTCCTCCCCCATACATACATTCTACTCAGATTTTGCCCCTGGGTTCTGATCAGGAGGTAAATGTAACTTGACATTAGACCCTATACCTTGTGTAATACACACACATCAGGGCATTTCAACCCCAATTTTCCCCGTGCTAGCTACAGGGTTCACATAGGTTAAATGTACGTGTAGAAAAGTCAACTTGGATACCTACATATATTTAAAATTGTTTCTGAAAAAATGTTTTGTTGGAATTCAGATCTGAACTCCTGTAACTACAGTACGTTGATGCCAATCATGAATGAGACAATACATATATTTATAGTTTTTTTTCCTATTCACAGTACATGAAGTTACCTACTTAAGCTTTACATTTTCTTTTTCAAAACGAACATACAACAAAAAGACTCACTACCATGTACTTATAATATAAGGATATCTTTGTATATTTAATGTAGACGAAACGCTGTTATAACTATAAAGAAACTTCAATGGTGATTATGTCTTTAGGAAAAAGTATTATAAACTTTAAACCACCAATACATGTATGTATACATGTACCATGGATCCAAGTCTGCATGTTGTAAAATTTTAATAGGTCATCACGCTTTATAGTCATTATGCTTTTTTTTATAACAGGATAGTGCTTTAATAATTTTAAGCATATGGATATGTAACATCTAAACTTGTATATATTTATTTATTTATTGAGCAGGCAGGAGGGGAGAAAATCATTGTATGTATAAACTGATGAAAAGGCCATAGAAAGAAAAGTACCTGGTGAACTGTAGTTAACTCCAGTGCACACCAATGTGAAAACCAGTGATGTGAACTCCAGTTCACTTCAGTGTTAACTCCAGTGCACAGGCTTTTCTTGTTAAATCCAGTGCACTAGGCTACCAAGTTAAGTTTGCTCCCAACGGTATACGCATAAGCTCTAGCGGAGATTTTTTTTAATCAAATTTAGATCAAGTGAACCTGCAAAGAAAACGATTTGGTGGCTATCAAATATACCAGTCGAACACGTCGGATTGGAGGAACGGTTACCTTTGCCATAAAGACACAACATCAACGTCGGCCGATTTGTCATTGACTCCCCGGATACAATGTACAGGTAGCGCCCAATACATGACGATATACAGCGACAGACTCACAGAAAGACTATCGTGGTACTCTGATGAGGCTATTCTGGAGCTTTGTGAGGTAGAAGTGTACGGTACGTAATTGAAATATTTAACTTTGCAAAAATGTATTCACATAGTAGAGAATATCGAGCGATAATGGAACGTTAACAAGTAGTATTTAAGACAAAGATCGATATTCATAAATCCTTTTTCAAGATAAGATTATCCATAATAACATCTTTGCAATATACTTAAATTATTTGTTCAATTTCATATTTTTGTTCAGTTACAAGATTGGTGTCTTTCATTTCAATACTCATCTTTGCCATTTGTTAATTTTTGTTTGTCTACAAGTCAGTGAATTATGTTGCAATTAAAAATGTATCGTACATTTTTGTGCATTATGATAATGTTGTGGAAAATGTAACATATAACGGAATTTGTACATCCAGGGGATTTAGCCAATGATAAAACAATAAAAAATTCTTAATATATTTTATCATTTTTTAAAATGATAACAGATGGGCGGCTTATGTCCGAACTCGCATGCTAATATATTCCAGGTTGTCCGCTTGGGAAATATGGTGATGATAATTGTGATTCAGATTGTGATGTAGGGTGTGCCAATAGCCTGTGTGATCCAGTGACCGGAGAATGTGCATGTAATTACATATATCTAAATATATCAATACTGGAAAAAGGTTCAGCATGCCATTTGCTTGTGGAAAGAGAAAAAAAAAAGAGCAGTTTATCATACATTTTTCTATTAATGAGAACCGTTGTGATACAACTCATTTTAAGTATCAGACAATATTATTAACAAAGAGTGTAGGTCGTTATCATAACCTTATTCAACATAGTGTACATTGTCTTGCTTTGGCGTCGTATAGGCTTTCGGTACAGTGATAGCATATGGATATGTTTTATTATGCTAACACTACACCATTTTAATTATAACATTCTACAGTTTCTTATCCAAGTAACTCAACGTATGGTTAGCAGTCTTCAATATACTTTTCTACTTATTTTATAAAATATCCCCACATAATTTTAAAATCATCGTAGACAATGCGTGTAATAAATGTATACATTATGTACATGTTTCATTTTATTTTTAGACTGTGCAGTTGGATACTATAAGTCTGGATCTTTATGTATAGAATGTCCCACTAATTGTTATGATAACATATGTTATGTAGAATCCGGTATTTGTTCTGGTAAGTGATTTCATGTACTTCAGTTTAAATTAATATTTATATGAATATTTTTGTTTACATTTTGTGTTAATTTAATGTCTTGTCATAAAATATAATGCATTCGCTGTGGGGACACAAATCCAATCAAAATTTATAATAATACCACTTCTGAGGTATTCTTTGCTGATATATATTCATCGAGAACATGAAATTATGTTATGATTACATTTTTTTACTATAAATTGATAAGATTCGGTGTACAATAAATGTTTGTCTTGCTTTGTTGTGTTTTGAAATAAAGATGTATTAAGCACCATTGAGTAGAATCACATCATCAGTGACAATTAATGACCTAAAACTTAGAAAAGGAAAAGGAAGCTTCCTACCATTTTTCGGATTCTGACTTGTTCTTTGTGATTTTTTCATGAAAGCGTGTACTCCCGGGTATTATGGAAGTCGTTGTAATCAGACTTGTCCGTTCAACTGTAAAGACAACCGATGTATGCAAAGCATTGGAGAGTGTGAAGGTATGTATCACTGGAAAGTATGAAAAAACTTGTTGACAATTGTGTTATTTAAGGATTGGTTAGGTAATTATTTATAATTAATACATTTATTTGTCATGTTAACATAGATCATTTAAATCAATTTTGATAACATTTGGAATTTTTATAACGTCTATAAAAGGAAAACTAACAGGATATACAAATTGTAATATGGTATACAATTTACAGCCCTTAACTGAGGGAAAGAATATATAGCTCAAACGTGCACAGCTATTGTCTTTTTACGAAGGTTTTCCGTAAATTTAACATGATCTTTGCGAATCTAGAAAGGTAATCTAGGACATGATAAAATATGTAGAAAGAACACACAACAGAAAAAAATAGTATGATATTTAAACACATTCAGGTATAAGTACGTAAATAACTTAACAACACGGTTGTTAAATATCAGGTCCGATTATGATTTGGTGATGGTATATTTCCCGATCATCAAAATGAAAATTAATTGCATCATACTGAAGTAACATTGCGTTGGAAAACATGAGGATTCTTAACGTATGTTTATGCATGACATGCACACACTACAAAGTTGTTCCATATGAGAAAGGTTTGTTTTGTATATGAATATGTTCGTGAAATGTCAATATGAAAATATATGAAGTTCGTTTTGATTTTGCAATGGCCAGACTGTGAGGATGGATTCTTCGGATCGTCCTGTGATGACTGCTCTGTCGGTTGTACCAATCGTGTCTGTGACAAAATATCCGGAAATTGTAGCCGTATGTATTAAAAAAGAGCTCACTGATGGCTTATATTTCATTATATTTCATAACCTATTTTCCTAAGTTTAAATGGGTAATCCAATTGTCGATGAAATCATATTGTGATTATATGGTTGTTTATTTTCGTATTCATCATTAGTTTATATTGCATTAAAGAAAAACATTCAGGTGTTTAAGTGAGTATATAAGATATAAATCATTGTCGCTGCTACCGGATTATTGTTAATGTTAGAAATAAATCATGCGTAGATAAAACAATCATTATAAAAAAAAGCCCATCTATTAACTACAGTCAATCACAGCTTATTTAGACACCCTTCTTCTAAATGTACACTTCATATATGTGCATTATTCTCTAAAATTCATATGGTTGTTTTAGATAATTTTACCTGTGATATATAAAGACTATGGGAACAACTAACCTGCATAGGTAGAGAGAAAAAAGTGACATGATTTATCCAAATGCATGTCGTAAGATGCGTCTAATGTGGAACCCTTTCCATGATCCATGACTGCTTTGAGCGCAATTCATGGATATTTAAAGATTTACAAACGTATTTTTTACATACAAATTAAACAGATGAATGGTTATGATTCTTTCCTATCTTTCAAATAAATTTGCATTCAATACTAGTGTTTTACTTTCATACAGTATTACCAAGCTTTAGGACAATACCTGCAATAAGATTAATCAGTTTTGAAATATGTGATATCAAAGTTTTATTTTGTCCAGTGACATAAAAATATACATTTTCCCTCACATCGTTGTACATGTAAACACTACAACTCTCTCTCACTCAGTAATAGCTTAACAACGGGTTACGTCGGTCTCGAAACGTTGTGACACGTTTAATACGTGTATTGTTTGTGTAAAAGTAGTTGGTATCATATAGGACGATTGTAGAAGATGTGAAAAAATAGCAAGAAAGTAACTGTTCCTATGATCTGCTTTGCTTCTCATTACGCTGTCCGCATCCGCTCTGCATCCCTATACACATCTGACTATACCCCTGCCTCCCCACACCAAAACAAATTTATACACTCAAGCTTTTCGTTTTGTATGCTCAAAGTAATGAATTTGAATTTTTGATACACATTTAATATGCTTGACTTGATTTCTAAATGTACTTGAAGATAGATACGATACAATTGTATTTTTATATGAAGAGAGACTTTTGTAAAATCGTATTTATGTTATATTCAAGCCTGCGTTTCTTGTCAGTCTAGTTTGAACATATACCTAATCTATATATTTTTTGTAAAGTAAAGTGAACGATGTATGCATTAAGTCTCAAATGACTGCTGAGGCTCTTTTTTATTTAAGCATGCAAACCTGGATATTATGGTGATATCTGCAACACAAGCTGCCCGTCCAATTGTAAAGGGGATATATGTAATCAGACCAGCGGGTTATGTACAGGTATGGTGATATGTAAGGTCATTCAAGAATTTAGATTATATAATTATAGTTTTCCTATTTAGTACGTGAAATGGTCGGTTACACATAAAACAAACATTAATTATAAATATAAGGATATCTATCCTTTATTGCATTGACTGCTGTAACATTTTTGTTTTGCTGCAGTAAGTATACGTTTTAAGTGTGTATAACAACACATTTGGGACAATTAATGGTGATCATAAATGTTGTAGAATCATAACGAAATGTTTTTTAACGAAAGCAATCACCGATATCTCAATAGCATTGTTAGTCCTTTAATCCCGAGTTTTGTTTACATGTAACCAGATACATTATTTTTGAGACGGTAAAAATGTGTTCATAAAGATATCATTATGATCTTGGGTATATATATTCTCAGTTGATTTATCGTTGATACGTGACTGCATGAGATCATGTTTTGTAGTAATTTTGGGGTGTATTAAAACTATATCGCAGTTAGAAACTTGATATCATACGTCATGAGAATACTTTAAATGTACATTATTAACACACAAATTCTATAAATCAAATAACAAATAGGACGTATTTTTATTGCACAGCCTACAGCAAGGCAAATATAATTGCAATAGTACAAATCTTATGTAAACATTACTGCAAGGAGACGTCAATGCATGTATTTGTTTACTTGTGTTTTAGAATGTGCACCCGATTTTTATGGCATTGAATGTAAGCAGATTTGTCCGGCAAACTGCCGAGACTCACTATGTGCCAGAAGTAGCGGGGATTGTTCAGGTAAAATAATGCTCGCAAACAGAGTCACTTTTTCTATTTGCCGATCATTTCATTTTTTTGATAATAAAAAAGGGTACGTTAAGTTCGTTTTATGTGTTAAAAGTCTCATGTTCCGTTCGGTTATGAAACATGGTTGTTGTGGCCTATAATTGTTTGACATATACATGTATTGAGGCCAAGGAGATGTGAATTATCCTTCTCTTTTTTTTGCCAAACATTGTTATGTTGGTGCATTATGGCATTGGACATTCCATCTAATGTATCATTTGTGACAACACGGTTTGTTTAGGGGACGACTTCTATTATGGTCCCCATTACAATTCAAACTTGTTTAATATTTCTACTCAAGACATTTCTGTTTAATCTAAAGGCAAAACAATCTTAATAAATCATTAACATTTCTAGAATTCAAAATTGGATTGTACGGGACAACTTTTAATATTAATTGTTTTGATTAATGACCGGATATGCAGTCAATCGGGCTGAAATAGTGAGGGTTAGTAAACTTAATTTAAATTAAAACATAATAACGTAACCCCATTTGATTTGGCATTAGGTGTAATGCACAAAAGGAGTCGTATGTGTAAAATATGAAATATTTGTATTGTAGCATGTGAGCCTGGTTTCTTTGGACTAAATTGTAATATGTCATGTTCTGGTCATTGTGAATGCCAACAGAACAACGGAACGTGCATAGGTACATTTCCCCTATCATTACCGTACAGAACAAAGTATCTATGACTGAGCTATTAATCATGCATAGAAAAGAAAGTTTAAAGTGTAAGATTCACATTACGTACTATTATTGTAAAAAGACAATTAATCATGTACATTTTGCTTCATTTCTTTATCGTCAATTGTAATCAAAATGTTTCACCTGAAACATCTTTATCTTTTAATATTTTATTTTTACTCCAATAGAGTATTTCTAAAAGCTTCACAAATCTTATTTTAATCCATTCTAATAAAGATCTTTTATGATAACATGTGATACCCAAACTCATTTATTTTTGGCAATTACACCACTTCAATTTGTATTATTAGTTTGTACGAGTGGATATTTTGGACTTAACTGTGAAGAGAAATGTGGGCAGTGCAGTGTTGTGTCATGCAGTAGGTCTGATGGGTTATGCTTCTGTAGCGACAAGGAACACGGGACATGCGGATGTAAACATGGCTGGGAAGGAGAGAAGTGCACTACAAGTATTTTGTTTTGTTTTGTTTTATTTTCAAAACCAATAACTGATGTGATATTTCACCTGGTTAATGTAGATTTTGCTATAAAAGGCAATATGGAAATAACGAAACTAGGATAATACATGTACTACCTATTTCATATACATTGATCGAAAAGGAGTTGGCATTGCATCAACACACCTGTGTTTATTTCAGAGATGGTAATGGAAGTCTCATACGACCAAACAGGAACGTACGCTGGGGCTGGTGTTGGAGTAGTGATTGTGATTGTTCTTTTTGTTATAGCAACTGTCATCATCTTTAGAAGGTATGCACTCACAGTAATTGTATTTTAAACCTTTGCGGATGATGTTCCAATATGTATCGATCGTTTACATTTCGATTCTGTTTCATGTCTGTATTTTCAGGAAACGATTACCAAAACACAAAAAGGAAATTCCCCGTGAAGACAGAGGCAAGACGTTTGAAAATGTAGAGTGTTCACCATTCCCGTTTGAAACGTCAGACACGCAAACAAATATTGGAGGTAAATGTTGTAGATATAAGTTACCACGTATTAATATCATAATCAAGTAAGGTGTTATCTGCATCGCTGTTGTTTTATGTAAATGTCGAGGATAACATTTGACTGGGTCAAACAGTATCTTAGTATTGTAGCAGTAGTAATACATTTTGACTTTTGATTATAAGTCATTGTCGTACTCCATATATCATCGTATACTTCTTTATCATATGCATACCGTGTTAAATAGTGTCGTAAAGCCATCACATCAATTATGTTTATGTAACGTGTGTAATATCACTCCGAAAATGACGTCACAATCGAACAGAAACAATCAATGTGCCGTCACGTCATTGTGAAGCGGACGCAATTTTCATCGTTTCAAAGACAGCTAAGTGCTAAATATTCGTGTCAGATCACAATTAAACAGTTTACTTTGTATTATATGATAGAAATATCTTGTCATTCGATCTCCTTCCTACTAGGTTTATGAAACTAATTTTGGATTTTTCAGAGGCTCGCAAACATGAAAA